CAATGCAAACCGTCCAGCTTGGGGCCAATAAAGGTTACAGAAACAGCGGAACCGCGGTCAAGAAAATAAGGCAACGGGATCGGGTTGCCCGATATCAACAACTTAAGAAGGCCAGTTAAACCCAGAATCTTTTGCTGATACTGTAAGATAGGAAACACAACCGTACAGCCAAAAGGCGTGAAGGAAGGCAGGGGTAAAGGTGGCAGTGGCACCTGCCACTGGCAATTGCCACCGGCAGTGGCAGTTGCCACTACCCGTTCTGGCAGGCAATACAACGTTGCAACTGCCGGAACCTTGAAATGACATGGTTCCAACGATAATCTCTATAGAAAACATCTACAAAATTCAGAAAGAAGTCGCCGGTAATTCTAGTTATTGATACTGGTTCAAGAAGTGGCTGCGGTAATGGTGATGGTGGTGGCACTGGTGCTGGTATGTAATTGTCAGCATGAAATAATGGGAATATACCCCACGATTGCTATGACGTAACCGATGATGCCATTCGACTCAGTTTTTCTTTCTGAGTCGAATGGTCATGACCTTTTGAGAGGAAAAGGTTATCTAAAGGTCATGGCCGACAATGATTTATATATTTTATTATAAAATTTCTTATGTTTCCCCAGCAGAAATCAACTTCCTATAGCCAATTTGTTCAGAAAAAGGTCACGTGATCAAATTAATCGATCAAGTAAAAACCGTTCTACATTAGCGGCTGGTTTCTTGGGTTCTTAGGGTTTCTTTCTTAGGTAACCCAAATTCTTAGTTTCCTTTGGTTTCGTTGGGTTTCTTAAGGTTCTTAGGGGTTCATAGGTTATTCTTAGGTTTCTTAGTTTTCTTAGGTTTCTAAGGTTTTTGGGTTTCGATTATTTCCTAGGTTTCTTAGATTTATTGGGTTTCTTCGGTTACTTAGGTTTCGTTTATTTCTTAGGTTTCTTCTTAGGTAACCCAAATTATTGTTTTATTTCAGCGGCGGTTTCTTAAGTTCTTAGGGTTTCGTTTCTTAGATTATTCATCTTAGTTTAATCAGATTGCTATATAGCCGCTTAAAAACAAACACACTGCACGCGAGTGATGGTAAGACGCTATATAATTGTATTTTGCTCCATGACCTTTGGATGACCTTTGGTCATGACTATTCGACTCAGAAAGAGATTCTGAGTGAGGTCATTGGTTACGAATGAGGCCATCGGTTACGTCATAATAATCGTGGGGTATATTACCATTTTACCGTAAGCATAGTGGTACTGGTGGTGGTAATGTGACTGGTAGTGATTGCAATGGTTGTGCTGTAGTCTGCAGCCATACAATTTCCTTAGTCTTCCTAGTTTGTGCAAGTGCAAGACAGTGCAAGACAGCAAGCCATAATTATACGATTCGTGTAGATCACAATTTGTTTCTCCGCTACCTTTTGGGATACCACCTTGAGGCTTGAGGACACCGATTTAGGGAATGCGACATTAGTCATTCATAGTTATTATGGTTTTCTTGAGTTTTCTTGAGTTTTTTCAGGCTGTTGTTACTATGAGGTTTGTTTCTGAAAATGTTTCTGAAAATGAAAATGTTTCTGAAAATGATGGTAACCCCAATAAATTCATTGGCACAAAATACCATGAAATGGCGTACTCAGTATACTGCAAAGTTTTCACCCACTTCTCTGCATAAGAAAACTTGAAAGCAAAATAGGTGTGTATCGAGTGGCTGATAATAACAGCCACTTCGGTTGTTTTACTGAGGTTGCTCCTATGAAAAACATTTTTATTGAACGTGATAAGCAGTGATTTTATGTACAAAGCATCGGTAGAATCAGTAAACATGCCTTGGACGACCTGTGCCCAAAGCCGAATTGTCCCTTCCTAATTTCCTATTTCCTACAAGGATCAGAACACATACGGTAATATTGAAGGCGTAGTGCCAATGTTAATAACCTTTCTACTGTACATATAACCACATCACACTGCGAAACAGGCCGACAGCAGCGGTTCCCTTTTGGATTGAATGTTCACAACCATCTCACAACGAAGTCACCGTTGTACCAAAGAACTAACTAGAAAGCAGCGTGGGCACAGAAGAAGTTTTGAATTCGTAGAAAACCTGATGAAGTGTATATACTCTGTATCTGTACTACAAATAATTATTGAAGTGGTGTTGTATGAAATCGTTTTTTGTAAAACGTGCTGTATGTTGAGAACTAATAAAATACACACAATTCAAAGCATTCTGCAATTCAGAAAAAACTTCAAAAAAGATCGTATTGTAACGTAATCTCCACTCTCCAGTGGTGTGAAATGGTACAGTAAATGCAACAAGCTCATGTGCATCAGCTACCGTTGTGGATCTGACTAGTGCGTGTAGTGTCGCCATTAAGACATCTTTGAACGATCGCATCACATCGCTGCATATCGTCCAATCCGGGTCGGATCAAAAGGAATCCCTGGTGTGCGTTCGTCCACTAGAGCTTCCTTTGCCGCCTGATCACCATCCAGTGGGTCTCCGACGCTCCATTTCCTCCACAGACTCCGAGAGCACTCCCGTGTCACCATCTAATCACGGCCCAGTTAATGTGTTGGTGAGGGTGGGGGGAATGTTGCAAATGTGTAAAGTGGTGTCGGAGACCCCTATTGACTTTACCACCCCGATTGCCACCATGGATATCGGTTCTGCACCCGAGCATGTCCGTCGAATGCTGTTGGGTGATACTGTTGCTGGACCAGGTTGGTTAATTCTCTCTGATTTCCGTCCGTTGTTAACTAGTCAAAAAGGGCGCGATATTTTTGACGTTATTATGCAGCTGGCAGTTAGGAAAGTATGGTTAAAAATTCTGTGTGTCCAGTGAAACCTGTGAAACCATCGCAGTCAGGTACTAGTAAATTCCTGAACAGAAAGTAAATTGTGAAACCTAAAGCACGTACGAATGAACAAACTTCCTGAATTGCATCAAAAATGAATCTAAATGAAACAGTATTGCAAAGGGGAATTAACCATTAAATTTCCAGTTGCTCATTTAAATTAAAACTCCAAAGCGTGTACCTTTCTTTTACAGGCACTTCCAGTCGTGCGGAGAATGGCCCAGCTGTCCGCTGTGAAAAGCAACGCACCGGATCACTGGAAGAAGAAATTGTCAACTGTGACTCTGTCCATTCCGGAGTTAGAAAACCGGTTCTGCGCACTCTGTCCGTGCCGTGTGCGCCCTCAGAGCCACAGTCTACAATGCGCCAACTGAATGTCGAACCTGCTTGTATGAGTGTCAGCAACGGAGCATCGCCGCCAGACAAAGCGAATGCTGGCAATCAGCAGAGGCTGGTGCATAAAATCTCCAAAAAACATCCAGATTGGCTCAAAGGAAGCTGCAACACAGGAGAAATCATTTCTAAGCAGCGCCTAGCCCGAAAAGCGCGCATCGCCCCGATCGCAGCTAATTATCTGGTGGCTCCCAATCACGACACCGTGAAACACAAGGACCCATTGGTTCTTCCCACACGGACAACCCACACTCCTTCCTTCGCCGTTGGCGCTCGCCCGATGGAAAAAGTAGCTAAAGGTGTAAAACGCGAGCCTTCTGTTACGGATAGAAATGCTTGGAATCATAGCGGAAACGAGCGTAATTCCGCTGGTGCCGTTCAATCAGTAAGTGACTGTAAGTCTCCTTCAACATTGCTGACCAGTATCTTGATGACCGACAAAATGTTCACTTGACGTTTTGTTGAAACCACAAACCGATGATCGATACATTGTTGACTATCTGCTGAACATCGACAAACATTTCCGGACCACAAGTTGTAGACAAGTTTAAGAGCTTTCAAAAGCACGTTGAATTTGGAAAAAAATATTAAATATGCGAAACACACACTGAACAAAAGACATGAGAACTGGACCGACAAGGCTATCGGCCAACGTGGTACTTTCGACAAACTAGTCAGGCGGTGATTACGAAGAAAAGCTAACCATCGATGAGCGAGCACGATGAACAGAAATAAGCTACTTGTATGTCGTTTAGAAAATTGTCGGAAAGCGAAAAGAAGACCCATGAACTGACATCCTACCCTATCCTTCCGCTGAATTCTTTCGCTAATCGTGTTGTTTTCAAATCAACAGGAGCAGAAGATGAGTGCTGAATCTTGTCAACCTGACTGTCTACAACAGCAGCTACTCCCGGTGAAGCAAGACGCTGGCGTTGACCGCAAAAGGAAAATATCCATGACCAGCGCTGACCGAACGCCGGGCGCGTTACATAGTGGGCGTGACTCGCAGCGCACCGTTCTTCCACGTTCAAGTCCCGTAGATCCTGCTAGTGGTGTGAAGCTTGAAGCAGCAGCGCAGGCTGCCGTTCCAGTAGACCCACGAAGTGGACGAGGCGCTGGTTTTGTAGAAACCAGTGGAGATAGGTGTTGTCGCTTGATTCCCTCCAGTCCGGATCCAGATGCACCGCACACGAAGAACCCCAGCCTGCTACAACCCATGCCTTGGGCCAGGGAGGCTCTAGAGGAAATGGTTCATTCAGCAGAAGGTCCCAAGAGACTGCAGACGAGAGATGTAACTGGCGCAGGATCGTCGCTGCTTGTAGGATCTGCCAACAACCAGGCGTTGTCTCTTGATCCTCATCCGTCCGACCCGCGTTTGCTTGGACGACAGGGTTCGTTATTTTTTCAAAGAACGCCGGGATAGTAGAAACTAACCATTTCTGGGTTACTGTCAGTTCACAGTAGTACATGTATTGTTGGAAAACCACCCTTTGTACATGTATGCGGTCGAGAGCCGCGTTTTGTATATGTGTGCAGTCAATAGCCAGTATTGTGGATGTGAATATCGTTCGATATTCACTGCTTTTTGTATGTATGTAATTACGCGGTGGCTCCAGCTGGGCTGGTTCAAGTCCAGCCCAGCTGGTCGGAATCAAACCGAGAAAACGCCCTGCATATTTTATTAAGTGCGAAGTGCTACGAATCCGTGACCCATTGGTCACTTAGTAATTATATTGAAGGCTAACTAAACAAACACCAAAACTAAACAAAAAGGTCAAGCAACTCTTCCTCAGTCAGAACATGATCAACCAAACGTTGATCAGCCAAATACTCATCGATGCTACCATATTCTTCCACAATTCCCATGTCGTCATCGGAAACTGGAGATGAGGATGGAAGCCCGTTACACAACACCATACCCGGATTGCCATCCTCGATGACACCCCACATCGGTTCCGCTAGGACATGCGGTAGGGGGGCGGCAGGCACTGGCTGCGTTATGCCAGGTGGAACTAATGGTGGTGGAGCAGAGTAGGAAGCGGGGCCGGATTCCGACAAAATAGCCATTAGCGGTTCAGCAAGCGGAGCCGGAAGTGGAACCGTCGGAATGGGCTGCGGCTGGTTGGCGGGCACTACGGGTTGCGACGGACGAGCAGGTGGAGCTCGTAATGGCAATCCGACGCGCGCACGAACAACCCGCGCGGTGGACGTTGGCTTCGGCTTCTCCACTTTTACGTCGTCATCATCGCTGTCGTCGATGGTAATAACAGGCGGGTTAACCACGGGAACGGTTTGCTCTTCACCACGCATCTGGCGGATGAAGAAGACGGCAGCCTGGTGGTGCTTGGCGCGCTCTTCGTGGTATTCCTCTGTCAGCATGTATGACGGGATGTACCCGGCAGGCTATAGAAACATGACACGCTTAATACGCTATATGGGTGAAACAAAAATCTGGGGTGACTATGATTGTGTAGACAGCGTATGTACCGTCTTGCTGAGGGCATCGATTTCGGCTAAACGAAGACTAGTAGCGAATACCACATCTTCGTTAGCCGCAAGGTGCTTGACCAGGGGATGTGCCATGTTGGTGGTATAAAGGATACAGTACAGAAAGGCGAAGAAAATTTAAGAAAAACTAGGAACGCTGTGCAAAAAACAATATCTGCACGTGTAGCGTGGCTGAACGGTCAATAATTTCACTCGGCAGACGAAATACAACAACTGAATGTGCTTGCAAGGTAATACAGTGCATTTATGTAAGATTAGCGTGGGTCACCAGGCAACGTTGTCAAGGAAACGGTGCATGGGAATCACTAAGGACGCAGCAAACTTACAAACGCATACAGTTCATGAAATTGCACGCTGTTTACATTGTTTGTTTGGAATCCGCGCCATTGTAACACAATAAAAATGAGCCATGTACACAGTAACGATTACATGGTACATACACATGGCAGCCCGGGTAAAATACCAGGTACCACATTGTTCTGATTAGAGGGAAAACAAAATTATTAAACAGAACACAAGACAAAGTCGTAGTAGCATTAGTTTGAATCGTTCAATCAGAATGGAAACGTATAAATACTTAAGAACACTTAACAGCGATGTACGGGAAATTGTTCTTGATGGTTATACAGTGGATAATGTTGTATGGGCTAGCTTAGAGCGCTTCACTCGTGTCAGAAAAATAAGCGCAGTTAGCTGTGAAATTTATAATCTTATAGGACTGCCTATTTTACCGTCCCTACGAGTACTGATGCTTAACGACAATTTCTTGAGCGATGTGGATGACCTGGTTGAAAAGTGTCCAGCTTTAGAAAAACTGTCCCTTGCCTATAACCAGCTTTCATTTCCGTTCCAGGTTGAAAAGTTAAAAGATTTAACCAGTCTTCGTGTATTGGACCTTAGTTATACTCCGTTTTTCTACCGGAAGGATTTCGATATTACTATGCGTTTGCGTTTTCCAAAACTCCAGTCGCGCACGATGACATGGGAAAGCTCTGAAAGCGAGAATGACGAAGAAGAGAACAGCAGCACCTGGTTTTGCATGACTAAAATAATGCATTCTAGTAAGCCATGAGATGTTAAGAAGATCTTGAAGGTTAAGTCTTTGGATATGTCTACTGTGCTGTTTCAGTTACACCGATAATGCTGTTTGTGATTTTTACCATGGTGTAACGTGTGTGTGAAATCCATCAGATGGGGTTTGTCTATTAGTTAAACCAGAGTCAATAAAACTGTCACTCGGTGTCTTAGTACTGTTGGTTGTACTGCCATCCTCCACAATCCCACTGTTACATAAACCCACCGCTGAGTTGTAAAAGGGGCATGCGCTCATTTCTTTGCTACAGAGAGTTACTGCAAGTACCAATATTATTTGACAAGTAACGTAGTCATAGCAACGGTACGTGGTGCCAGGTACTGTTTTGGCTACCTTGGTTACGTATGTAAAAGCAACATGCAAACAGTCGGTAGTTATCAGAATGGACCTTTCCGACTGGATGCTTACGGATGCTCCGTTAGAGGAGCTTGGTTTAGAATTTGTCTCTCCTACAGCTTCGAATAATGTTAACGCTCAATCTCTACCTAGTCCATCGTCGAGCTACTGGGTAAACGAGCTTTTGCTACCAGTTACGAGTGGGCTGACCGGAACTGGTTTTGATCTCCAGGACGGGGAGGTGCCGGTAGTTACCAACTCGACCGCATCACTTGATTGGTTGGACGAACTTTTATTCCCAGTTGTCAGTGCTCCACAGGTAGTGCAATCAACGTACCAGGAAGCTGCGTTCCCTACGTTCACTGAGGAAGTCGCGTTACCTCCAGGTGATGTCCTGACAACGTACACCCCAGAAAGCGATTGGTGAGCGGGTTTATTATGGTACACTCTTTGGGTTAATAAAATTGGAAACATTTTTTAATGAAACCGTTGTACATGCAGCAATGTATATATACTCTGTATGAGCGGTTTGTTGATTATAATACGAATAGCTCTGTACGATTATGCTAGCACATAAAGTGCAACTGAAAGGTCACGGAACTGAACCTTGTCATTGCAGCTTGGCCCACTGTCTAGCGTCGATCGGATTGCTCCCTGACTCCACCCAGTACCATTTTGCTATTCCGGAAACTGTGTCGGAAGTTAATAACCGCAGCGTACCGGAAGCCACACTAATCCACATTCCTGAACCAACAACACGGGAGCCAGAAAAGACAGTCAGAAGAAGAAGCGGGCTAAAGAGCATATTATGCTGAAAGTCCAGTCTCGGCAGCCTACAGTTAAAGCTGGCAAGCTCCACTGCTACATTCAAAGTACAGGGTACACTGAACTTGTCGTCACGACGGAGCCTTGGACCCAACTGAGTGTGAACGGTAACGAGTTCGGCCGCATTGCCTTGTACTTGCTGAACGGAAGTTGGGAGAAGGATATGGCTGACGCTACAGTCAGTACGAAGAAGAACTGGGTGCCACGCGAATTGTATCGGCAGTACTCTAACACACTTCGATCGCGTTTTTTTCGGTCAAACAAGCGTAAGACCTGTTTTCTGCGATTTGTACGATTAGCTGATGATCTAGAGTTTTCAAGATGCCTCGTGGTTAACAGCTTAGCGATACGAGAACTTGTGAATCACCGCTCTCTGCTAATGATGTATGTGCGTGCTAATGCTAAAGAACCCGATTTTGTTGTTCGCGATAACGATTATCTTGACGATGATGAAGAGGAAGATGAGTAAAGCTAACAGCACAATATAAAACTACATACTAAGTTCTGTTTAAGTGGTTATGATTGATTGTGGTAAAACGGTGAACGTAATTGCAAGAAAATGAGAGTAGGTGTTTCTTCGGACTCAAAGCGTTTTAAGAGGTACAAGGTTGAGCGAAACGCAGATTGGGTGTTTAACTAGGAACCGACTAAAAATGAAACCAACACGGATTGCGTATGAGACGCATTTGAAGATGTTCAGAATGCACAGGTTGCGCAAAAGTTTTTAACATGGTTAGGTAAACATTGTTGTGACCGTAAAGATTGTTGAACAAGTTATAATTAATTTGGTATACGTTCCGCCTTTTAATAACATTTGTGTTCATGTCACAATACACATGAAAATCAACATCTGACAAACCACATAGAACAAAAACTAATAATAAGTCAAACTCGGTTTACGGTAGGGCTCAATAATTAGAAAAACACATTAACTGCGTAAGGAAATAAATTTGGACAAAAAAGAGCTGAACTAGTAGACAATAGTGGCGGATAATAAATAACTCGTTAATGAAAGGAACGCCTCTTCCTTCTCAAAGGTCACTCTGTGACACCCCTGTAAATGTCAACACCTGGAGTACGAAAATTAACATAAAAAACCAATTCGTACCGTTGGAATGGATAGTTTTTCCGGCCACGTACGCCAAGGTGACATGAACTGCAGTGGCCGTTTCAATACCGGTCAAAATATGTGTCGGTGAGTCCAAAATCATAGCCATTTCATCACCATGCAAACCGTATGACCAATTATTGGCTTCGCGGCAGCAGTGCTGCGAATTCACAGCAAAGCGTAAGTAAGTAGCTCCATCGCAGTCCAGCTTGGTGGTGGCTGTAGCAGCATCGGTTCCTCCCCAGCTAATTACGATGTGACCTTTGGTACCCGGGGCCGGTAATGGCATACACAGAGGTAATGTCCACAGCAGACTGGCAGAGGGTTGTTGGGATTCACACCAAGCAAATCGGTGTTCACCATCCAAGCTAATGCGACGAAATTCCACATCTAATGAACACTTGGAAAAGGCCATTTTTGCAGTCAAGAAGTAACACAGAGGGAATGACTGAAAATGCGAATGCGTCTTGCTAAGCTCGTAAATTTTGAAGGTAACATAACGAAACTAGGTACGTTGCTGGGCACCATGTATCGTACCCGGACACCCATGTACGGTACAACGGTACATGTCAAGCAGAACCTTGCAGCATGTTAAGTAAACCTTTATTATTTCGTTTGTCGTTATGAACCAACTTTTTTTTAATGTAAAAACTGTGCAATGCTTACCGGTTTAACTGATCTGCCTCCGGACATGGAACCGTACCAACTTTCGGCTGCCGATGTTGCGGATTGCGCCGCTTTGGCAGTCATGGACGACTGGGTTGATGAAGATCAGGGCGTCCTATATCAGTATGGCGGGCAGTCAGCGGCACTCACGGAAGATCAGATACCACTCATTGATATTGATGAGCATGTCACCATTGACTGCACCGGATACAAATACTCGAAAAAGTACAAGCTGCACTTCAAGTGCTTTGCTGTAAAGGTAAGCCTAAATATATGGTACCCCTAAATCACTACAGTATTTAATTTGCGGTATGGTACAGTGCTTTTACTTTTGACAACAGTAGAGTTAACTGAAGCACTTTATTTTTAAGGTGTCCGACCTTCAAGATATTAGTTTTGCTGATATCCCGTTTATAATAACGTTCATCTTGGAGCACATTCTACAGTCTGTGTTAAAAAATATCAGTGACACTGAGCTGGTGCGTTTGCGTATCGACTCGCACTCACTGGAACGCCCCATTTGGACTCCACCAATACAAAGGTCACAGTTAGATGTAAAGCGCTGGATGGACGAGATTGAAAAAGTTTTGCAGTCTCATGAAGATTTTATTTTGGATGATACCTTTGAAATTTCTGTGCAGTATACCGAAATTCCACACGGTGGTTGTCGGAAGGATGTGCCGCAACTATTACGTCGAAAATTGCAAAAAATGCGATCGGTAATTCAAGTGAAAAATAGCGACAATTTGTGTCTGGCGCGAGCACTTGTACTGGGTAAAGCGTACGCAGACAATGACAAAAAACTTTGCCGCCGCCTTCGCCGTGGAAAGAAATTGTGGACCAATGAAGCGAAGAAGTTAATTCACCGAGCTAACCTCGACCAAAGAGTGTTCAACCTTACCGACATTCCGTTTTTTGAAGCCGCACTTCCTGAATATCAAATTATTATTGTCAGTCTGGACCAGGGAAACCGGATTGTATACAGCGGCAAGGTAAAGAATCGGCATATTGTTCTGCTGCTGTACCAAAACCATTTTGATCTCCTGCTGTCGCTCCCAGCTTTTTTTAAACGATCGTATTGGTGCTA